ATATTTCTTTATACTTCACATGACTGATAGAATTTCAACATATAAAGCATATAAAGAGATTTTCACTCTGTTTACTTCCAGATTGCTTATCAGGATTTTAAATTGCGTATTCAGCTAGAAATAATAAACTCTGATGATGTTCCCTGTTTGTGCTGCCCACATTGATACCTTGTTTAGGCATGATGGTAATATGCACAATGACATAATCATTTGTCACACACATGTTCAGGGATTCCTGGAATGACATAGGTTTAAACGTTTGTTTACCTAACTATTGAGCTTTCTAAAATCTGGGTCTAAAGCTGAAATGTAACAGTATATCTTGGCCAAATACTGAGACGGAGGTAGAATTCTCGTCCACCCCTGCTATCTCAAGTTCAGTCATTCCTTGGAAGTCATTCTTGTCCGTCATTGGAGTGGCAGGCTCCCGGCCTTCTTAGCTGTTGACCAAAGTGTTGAAGTGGCATCTGAAAGAGTCTCAATAGGGTTTGTTTTGATTCTGGGTATTATCTACTGAGTGGTTGGATTTTCACCCTTATTTGCCTGTTTATTTTCCTTACAATCTCAGTCTTTCTGGTATGTAGGCATGATCTGCAGATAAAGGCTTCTTGGCTTAATTAATCTGTATGGCTTCCATAGGAGGAGAACCCAAGAGAACCCAAGTGACACTTTAGCAGGTGGCTCCCAGGCTTCACAAATGTTTACCTTCATGATGCAACAGCGTCATCAGCTGTGACGACTGCTGCAGCTTGAATTCAAATAAAATGCATTGAGATTTTAATTCCGCTACTCAACTCACACTCATCCAAAACTTAATGATCTGTCAGTTTAAACTTGAATCTAAAAAAAGGATTTCCTTTTGTTTTTTTGACTCTGTGATTTATTATCTGCCCCCCCCCACACACACACACAGCAAATAATCAGCATCAGTATATAGATATACTGGTATATATCTTCTCTTGAGAATCACCTGATGGTTGGATGGAGGTGAAGGTAGTTATTCCACTTGACAGTTTCTTAGCGATCACAGACTTAATATTCAGTTTGCACATTCTGATAAAAGGATGCAACTCACTGTCTTGTGCCTCTGTGGCAGCTTCTCTGCCTGAGATGACTTGCCCCCATCTTCCTCCTGTCCCCTCCTCCCAGGCTGCAAATCTCAGATTAGGAAACTTTGCCTGAAACCCCAGGCATGACCCAATATCCTCCTTTTTCTAAGCAACCTGAGATACCTGTGTACATTTCTGTTATGGCTCTGGTCCCATCTTCCTGCACACACAGTAGTAACTTGCTTGTTGGTTGCCCCTGTCTTGATCATGTTCTCTGAAGGCAGCTCTGGTTTTTTGTTCAATTTTATATCCTAAGAATCTAGCACAGTGGGCCGGGCGCGGTGGCTCATGCCTGTAATCCTAGCACTCTGGGAGGCCTAGGCAGGAGGATTGCTCAAGGTCAGGAGTTTGAAACCAGCCTGAGCAAGAGTGAGACCCTGTCTCTACTAAAGATAGAACGAAATTAATTGGCCAACTAAAAATATATAGAAAAAATTAGCTGGGCATGGTGGCACATGCCTGTAGCCACAGCTACTCGGGGGCTGAGACAGAAGGATTGCTTGAGCCCAGGAGTTTGAGGTTGCTGTGAGCTAGGCTGACACCATGGCACTCACTCTAACCTGGGCAACAAAGTGAGACTCTGTCTCAAAAAAAAAAGAATCTAGCATATTGTTAGGTAAGAACTCATTAAAAATTGTTACTACTACTTTTTACTATGACTGCTACTGCTCCTAGTGGCAGTCCTAGTACTGCTGTTTTTGCTGCTGCTGCCTTAGCCGGAATAGCTGGAGAGCTAGTGTGGGCCCCTCCCAGGTATGGGGGCTGCTCACACATGTTTTCACATTGTGGTCCCTTTTCAGCCACCCCCTGGAGATGACATAGCAGAAGGGAGATGGGGAGGCATTCTGGATAGAGGGAAAAGATTGCAAGTTTATGATAGTAAAATCACTCCTGTGTTGCAAATGGTGATACAATCACTACGAATTTGCTACAACTCTTGGATTTTTAAAATATTTGTGTGCATGCGACACTTCTGATCTTTTGTGGAGCATTTGGTTTCCCTCACTAAAGGTATGACTGCCCTGAGCATGGTGATGTTATCGACAGATGTGAATTTGATTCCATACCATCTAACACACATTTTCTCAATAATTAAGAAAACATTTACTAACCTACTGAACTTGAGCGGGTCTCTGGGCCTGAGCATCAGTTTTGTTGTCTGTAAGCTTAGAATAATGTAACCTACCTTCATAGGTTTTCTTGAGGATGCAAAGAGGAAACAAACGTGAAAGAGATTTGTAAGCCGCCAGGTACTGAGCAGAGGAAGGTGTTATTATTATATGGCTATGACAGACATTTCTTCTGAATTTCATGTTGCATTTGGTGGGAAGTGAGAGGTCTCGTTGGAAAATAAGTACCTGGCTTGAGGTGAAATACCTGGGGGTGGAGCTGTGCTCCTACCACTTCACTGGTCATGTGAGGTGAATTAGTGAGAAATGAATCTTAAAGCCATCCAGCTCAAGGGCGACTGTGAGAATTAATTGGAAAAATATGTGTGGAGGCATCTGGTGCCCTGTGGGTGGTTGGCCAGTGTTTGCAGAATGTCCCTTCGGGGCAGAGAACGGTCAAAAGGAACCAAAATGGCCGTGAGCAGAGAGCATGCTGGGAGGGAAAGCCTGGACGCTGACTCAGCAGACGTGGCTGCGTGTTCTGCTCTGTGTGGCACAAGTATTAGAAGTCCCGTGAACACGGTAAGCCTGTTTTCCTCCGATGTGAATTGGGCATAATAAAAATACTTATAAACATTTTCTTAATTATCTCGTAGGGTTGCCGTAAGGACTAAAAAAAAGTTAAGGTATCACCAGACATGGAGTAGGAAACCGAAAGCTGAGTTTATTCTCCCCCCAAAATTGAGAGTCATGCTCATGATGATTCTTCTCATTTTTAAAGCTGGTCTCAAACCATGCCTTAGGTGTTTTCTGTTGACCGAATACAGTGCCCAGGATGCCCTTTTGCCAAAATGTAGGCAGTTCGATGTAAAACGTTACCACCTGTGATCCAGCTGCCTTTTGGGTAGTCGAAGGCCAATAAGAATTAATGAAAGAAGCTGGAGGAGAAAAGGAAAGGGAGACAAAGCTGGTGAGAAATGGACGGATGGGTGACAAGTGACACTCGTTCTGGCAACTTTGATAAGAGGAAGTCTTTCTCCCCGAGCCCCTCTGTGGAGGGGAAGCCAACCGAGATCTCAAAGAGCGGGAGAGACAGCGCAGTGTGGCCGGAAGGGCACCTCCACCGGGGCTGAGGAGGCCTCCCCTGGCCACCAGGCCTCTGCAGCTGCCGCCTCACTGACTAGTTGTGCTCACGTCAGCAGTGAGGCTGGGACTGTGTGATAATAATGAGGACAGCACCTCACATGCTCTGAAGTTCTACTCTGAGCTTTAAAATTCCCCGGGGGTGGCTTGGCCAGACACTTCGCCCTGTAGTGGGCTTAGTCAGGGGCAGAGCCAGGACTTGAAGCCACATACTGCACCCCACCGTCCCCTCTCAGCTCTGAGTTTCTGGACCGTGGGTGGCTAGAGATGTCCAAGCAAGCACATCTGTGTGGTGTCACCATTCAGCCGTGATTTATGTCAGCCATTCATTTTGTTCATCTTTCTAGAGCGGGAAGCAGGGAATATGCTATTTATTTTATTTTATTTTATTTTATTTTATTTTATTTTATTTTATTTTATTTTATTTTATTTTAAGACAGAGTCTCACTCTGTTGCCTGGGCTGGAGTGCTGTGGCGTCAGCCTAGCTCACAGCAACCTCAGCCTCCTGGGCTCAAGCAATCCTCCTGCCTCAGCCTCCCCAGTAGCTGAGACTACAGGCATGCGCCGCCACGCCTGGCTCATTTTTTCTACATATTTTTTTAGTTGGCCAATGAATTTCTCTCTATTTTTAGTAGAGACGGAGTCTCACCCTTGCTCAGGCTGGTCTCGAACTCCTGACCTTGAGCAATCCTCCCACCTCTGCCTCCCAGAGTGCTAAAGTTACAGGTGTGAGCCACCCCGCCTGGCCGGAATGTGCTCTTTTACTCATGAAAGCTCGATGAGTAAGCAAACGGATTTGGCTTCTGACAGACCTTTAGTTGGGGGAGCAGATAAATAGTGCCCCATAGAACAGTGACAGGCGAGCAGCAGTGTAGCCTGCAGGCCGGACCAGAAGGTGAGGCGCCCTGGGAAACTGGAGTTTCAGACACTGAAGGAGTGAGGAGAGACCTTCACAAAGATCCCAGTGCCCAGTGGTGTCAGAAACTGCCAAGAAGCCAGACAAAATGACAACCCAAATGGCCCACACAGATTTAACCATCAGAAGGCAGGTTTCTTGGCCAGTGTCTAAGATCACATCACTTATTTCCTCCAGTTTCTATCCAAAAGGGGTTGTTCTCTGTCTTGTCTCCAGTTTGGGGGTGTGCACCCTCTGTGGGGGCCAGTCTGCACACTCCCTTCTTTATACAGCTCACGTAGAGTCTCTCCTCACCGAACTGAACCGCCTGACTGTTGAGTCAGGATACAGATGCGTTTCTGCTGCAGCTGAATAGCTCAGCAGCCTCCAAAGTTAGCCCTCCAAGTCTTTTCTGGATCTGACTGTTTGAATCAATCAGTACATTTGCAACTATAAGATGATTATTTTTTCCCTTTTGACATATTTCAGCTGCATCTGAGAGCTGATGTATTTCCCTTAAATTGGTTTTCTTTATTATTATTATTATCATGAAATATTCCAGTCATGCATTCGGATGGCTGGAAGAATGAATTAATAGTAAGTAGTCTAATCACCCTGGAGAGGCTGATGCTTCTGTGAGCTCGTGCTGAGGTAAGGCTGCACGTCTCTGTGGGAATGACGAGTGAATGAATCTGTTGCTCACTTAACCTGCTGTTCTTTTCTCCCTGCGTTTTCTCTCCTAGGAAACAAATGGAGGACTGCTGCGACCCCGCCCACCTCTTTGCTATGACTAAAATGAACTCCCCCATGGGGAAGAGCATGTGGTATGATGGGGAGCTTTTGTACTCATTCACCATTGACAATTCAACTTACTCTCTCTTCCCCCAGGTGAGTATGGAGTTCGTTGCATTTTCAATATAGTTTCTTAAACTTCTTGATGTCACAGGAAAGAGATAATTGAGTTTGGTCTAACCCATTGGGTCTACTTTTCATCTTCTTTCTTCTCTTCTTCATTCTAAATGTTTCCTTTATACCTGTCATTTCGTGTGGGTGAAGAAATCACATAATGTTTTTGATGCAAGGGAAGAAGTAGGATTTTGTAGGGTTGCAGGTGCCCTAGCCTTTATGATTTGAGTTGTGTGCGAGTGAAGGAAGCAAGCAGAGACTGTGCAGGGAATTGTGGAATTCTGGTGTTTTGAGGTTAGCTGTGGAATGATCTGGAGGATTTGTGATACTGGAATGTTTTCTTAGGACTGATGCTGCTCTCAGGGAGTGGGCACCATATGGTAGGAAGTTTTCTTCTTAGTTCTCTTGAATGGTAACCCCATGGTTAGATTATTGCTGAGAAGTGGAGGAGTGATGGATATGGAGAGAAGGAATTCAGTTTGACCACTTCTGAAGTGGTCTAAATCAAGCTTTGCTTACTTGATGTTTTTCTTCTTTGTTTTCTGAACATTGAAATAAGGCAGTTTCCTAGCATATATCTAGGCAGCAAGTAGGAGAAAAGAAAAAAAGAAATCTTTATTCTAGGGAATCCGAGTCAAGGGGAAGGGAGATCTTAGGTGAAATTGCCATTAAGGAAAAGTTGAGAAGTGACTGTTGACCTCCTCAAGTTGTCTTCTAGCCACTCTTGGTTTGGCCAGATGATTGTACAGAAAGAGAATTCATGGTCAGAGTAGGAAAGTGGGACTGAACCTTTCATGTATGTCTATTAATAGCCAATGAGTCTTTAGAGGAGGGATCGTATAAAGTTTGAGTACAGGTTCTATCCGATCCAAAGTCACACTCTCTATGAAACAGCTTATAGTTACTAGCTCATCTGTAGGTGTTTTAGTATAGTTTAATGGTTTTAGAGTGTAGGGATAAGTTTTTTTCTTTAATTTAAATAGGAAATAAAAGGTTTAATTCATTGCCAGCACCCATGTGATTTCTATCTCTCTCTTCTTTATTTGCCCTTAGGAGGCTTCTAGTGTCAAAGGCAATGACTAAGAGTCATAAAATGTGGAATCGAATTTTGTCTCCATCTCTACTAAATGCCTTGGATAAGTCACCTAAATGTTCTGAATATCAGCTGTCCCATCTGTGTAATGGATAGAGCACTACCTGTCCTGTCTACCTTGCAGAGCAGTGGTGGAGATCAGTTTAGATAATGCATGTCAGTGTCCTGTGTAAACTACAAAGCATTATGTAAATGTCTGGTGTTAAGGTTGTGCTGATTCATACTTTGCATCATGATATTGGGAAATGAAAAATATAATTGTATTAGTCAGGATTTAGGCAAGGCAGAGAAATTTCCTTAGGTATTTTTTGCCAGAAAGATATTTCACATAAGGAATTAGGCACTTAGAAAAAATCACTGGAAGAATGAAGACATGGGAGTCAAAAGGTGGTTCTTGGAATTATTGAATTCCAGAACTTACTGCTGTAACCGAGGGCTAGGGTTTGGGAAACCCAGCTGCCACAGCTACCTCCAACAGAAGCAGTGGCAGGAAGATGGGTTCCAATTCTCCTCCTCCTTCCATGTCTCCCTGAAGTGCATCTAATGGGTAAAGATTAATTTGCATCCAGAACGTTAGTTGCAAAGAAGTCCAGGAGAGGCAGTTTTTAACTATCAAGCTGGAAAGGAGGTGGAACAGAGGCTGAGCAAGGCAATCCCCAGGCTCCTCTGTGTACAAAAACTGATACCAACTAGCTATGGCATGAAGAAGAAATAAGGAAGCAATCTTCCTTCACAGCTCACCAACCAGAAACAATTTAAAAGAAATTTAAAAGAGGCTTTTTATAGATGAGAGCTTTCAGTCGGGCCAACTGACTTCTAACTTTGCATTAGAAAATGGGTTTAAAGAAAAGAGATGATTAAAGAAATAAAAACTAGCCTCCTATCTTATCTGTCAGTTGCAGCAGTAGGATGGTAGGACATATTTACTTTTTAAAGTGCGTGCAAATGAATTCTGTGCCCCTTTGTTCCAGTTGCAAGGCCAGGGAGTCATTCTTGAATAATGAAGGAAAAATGCTTTCTTTTCCTTAGGCACCCTAAGTCATTACATTATTGTGTGTGCACAGTCATATCAAAAGGCTGAACTAATAAGCCAATGCTTAGATTTTTTAGGAAAAAGTTACATACGTATTTTTTCTGCTGAGAATCTGAAATGACTAGTCAATTTATAGAAATCTTGGAAAACCAGTTTGCATCACTGCAAACATGGTATATTTCCCCCTGCTCTCACCATATTATTATTTCTTAGTGAAATGTTTCTGGTTGTTATCAGCAAACTGAATTGCTGGTTAATTGACATGCTTCTTTCACGTTCCCTGTGGAAAGAAAGTAGCATGTGCAGATGAGGCAGAAATGCAGGTGAGTGGGCCAGGTTCAGGGTTGTCAGTACGAACAAAGCATCTCTCCTTTCCCTGAGTTTCAGCAAAAGAATGCCAAGTCACTCGTTCTCTGATTATACATCGGCACCTTTGTACTTTTCCTCTAAATGCTCCATACGCGGTAGCCATCATTATTATTGTTATCATTCCTTTGCCTACTTTTATCCATTGTATTTTTGCTGTTGTTGTCAAGACGCAATACAAGAAAGGAGATGCTCTGTGCATTGCGAAATGTTAACAGGTCCTACCTAATCAGGGCTGTATATCCTCAGGAAGAGACTGTTGGAATGTTCTGTCCTTTGAGATGCCACATTGAATCTCTTTTGTTACAGTAGTTAGTTGCTTCCTATTTGGACCTTTCACGATTTCCTATAGTTTTATTATCAAATTCATTCAGTTCTGCCACATGTTGTAGTTATCTACGTAACTACACATCTACATATTACAGTTTTCTGAAAGTTCTTACCTGCTGATCTCAGTACCATCTCGTGAGCTTTTGAAGAAAAACAAGAGGTTTTTCATTTTTCTGCTCAGTGTAATGCTTCCCACTCAATATAAATATTCATTTCCAACTACTCCTGTTTGCTAAGAGGGTTCCCCGTGTCCCATCTGGGCTGGACCATTGCAGTTCCCTTGCATGAACTGTAGGGAACTAGGTAGAATATTTTGATGTAGCTGTTTCCAAGTGTACTTTGGTGAAATGTTTGTTGAATATTATTAGGCATGAAAGGCAAAATTTTTACCTTCACATAAGATTTTAAAAATATGCAGTGTGTTTGTGTGTGTGTGTGTGTGTGTGTGTGTGTGTGTGTGTTTGAAGAGGTTGGTGTGATACAGTGTGATGGTATGTGTTCCCACTTTGAGAATGCTATGTCCCTGGCTTGGGATGAGCTCTTTCCTCCTTAGCCAAGGACTGTCCCTTTTAAGTCTGCCTGGTTCAGTGTTTGCAGGAATTACTGAATAAGCTCTATTTTGGCCTAAGATACATTTATGCTCAGGAAGAGCATAAATTTCCTTGAAAATGAGTGAAGGGAGTATCAGGAATGTTAGAAACCAGAGCTGTGCTGATATAATCTGAGAACTATTTCCTTTTGGTGCAATAAAAACATGGTTGGCGCTCCAGTTCTCTTATGTAATATAAATTACAAACTAGTCATTTGTCCTCCGAATATTCACCCAAGGCCATGCATAAAGAATCACAAGGCATCAGTGCACCCCACACGGACACTCATTTCCTGCTCCCTAGATTGGCCAGAGGCTCCCTGTTGTGCCCCACTGGGCCTGAACCCACAGTGTCCTTGGCCTGTGGGAAACCCAGTAGGACATTGTGAAGCGGTTTGTCAAAACAGCCTTGTTCAAATGAACACACACATTTTCTTTTCTTCACAACAATGTGCTTAATAGACTTCTCTGAGCTCCTGGATATCCCTGGGTCTCACAGCAATTTTTTTCCTCCTTATGAAATTTGAATCCTACTGTATAATCTACCGAATTTGGTAGTTTGTTTCTTAATTTCTTAATATTATTGTAATCATGTCTCCAAATGCATACCTTTGTGACTGGAAGGAAACTAAGGGGAATGGTGTTTGGTGGGCATGAATCTTTGCCAGACTTTCATTAGGCTCGGTTGTTAGGCTTGTGTCTGGTTATTTTGCAACAGAAACCTGACCTAGGGGCTTAACCAAATGGTTATTTATCTCAAGCAGTAAGTAATTCGGGAGTAGGTAGTTCAGGGCTGGGCTGGATGGTAGCTATGCAGTGCCATCAAGCTGTCAGGCTCCTGTCTTCCTACTCAAACATCCTTAGCTATTGGCCAAGGAACTGCCAAGCGTTAGCCCAGGATCCCAATAGAAGGAAGAAACAGAAAAGCAAAAATGAACAGATTCCTGCTTACCTGTCACTGGTCAGGACTGAGTCACACGGGCAGGTCTAACTGCAAGAAAGGTTAGGAAGTTCGGTGTTTCAGCTCCAGGCCGATGCAGCACACGTGCCGACGGACTTACATTGTCTGCCTCGATTTTTGCATGTGTTGTCTCTATCTTGACAAAAACTCTGGGCTTGTTATTATTGGTGTCCATTTCATGGATGACACTAAGACTGAGAGTGGTTAAATAACTTATTCAAGGTTCCGGAGCTGGTAGGTGGAAGGGCTGGGGTGTAAAACTTGGCGTGTCTGACTTCAAAGGTTTTAGTTTACTGTCTTGTTGAAAAGGCATGGCTTCTAGTGGATTGGTTGTTCATTCTTACCACTCAGTTACCTGGAAACCATTTTAAGGTTTTTCGCTTCTCTTATAAGAATACATTTATAAGAAATGGAAACACTTTCTTTTGTAGCTATTTGGAAGCAAAAACCTGGAGTGTAGATATGCAGGCTACAGGATCCTATACAGTACTGAAGTTTCCCTTTGAAACTGTACTTTCCTATGCAATACTGTAGTCTCCCTTTGGCTTTAAGATATCCAGCAGCCCATGTTGAAAGAAGAAATAGGAGCAGTTCCATTATTTTGATTTTT